GAGCCAAAGATGTTAGAATTGTGTCGATGTCCCAATATTTCTGGACCTGACTGTACCTTTAGAGGAGATAGTTCTTAAGAATTTGACTTAAGCCCTTGACTAATTTAAAGTGATTGCCAACACTTTGAATTGTGCCCCAAAACAACTTGGTAACTAAGTTGACTCTGAATATTTTTAAAGGAAAGCAGGCTAGAAATTAGCATTTGTCAGTGTCAATTTAATCTTTGTCAGGCATTGATATAATTGATGCACAAGCTGATGTTTGGCAAAAGCATTCATGACTATAAAGCTACTGCAGCTAGATACTATACTTTTGAGTTCTAATATGGTCTGAATTACTAGTTCAGAAATGGCTACCTTGTTCAAACTACTTTGTGAAGCCTACGTGATAGTTACTTATAGGTGTAACAATATAAACAGCTTATACAACCATCAAACTTGAGTGGTCAGTAATATTTGATTATAGGTGGTACATTCTTCTTACAATTTTGTGATGGAATTTAGAAATAGACTTATAAAATGGAAAGTTTTAGCTATAAGTGGTGTTTCTTCTCTCTTAATAACTTTTTGTCCAAGTCTTGTAACATCTTTATCTTCTCTATAGGAACATCATTCATGGCAGTGACTCTGTGGAGAGTGCGCAAAAAGAAATCAGTCTGTGGTTCAAGCCTGCTGAATTTGTGGACTACAAATCTTGTGCTCAGGACTGGATTTATGAGTAAAGTAGTCCTTAAGGGGAGTTGTGCCTTCTTTCAACAAGTCATTTCATTCCACCCTTGCATTACATGGGAGCAGTTAGCATAGTTACTTCTCTGATTAGCACTATCAAATAAAGGCATCATGAACAAATAAGCATTCTTGTTTTTAAAGAAATAAAATGTTACGTGTGAATTGTTTGAAGTGTATTAGTCATACCTGTGGTTGTAATTTTAAAAAGTTCTTCAATAAATACAGATGTTAGAGGTGTGCTAAAAATTTCAAATTGAATTCAGGACAAGCTGTTTTGGCTATAACAAGCACACTTGAAAGTATTTGAAGTACTTTCAATGAGATCAGAACATTTCATTTCAAATTCAGAACATTTTGAATTCAAAATGTGTTGTATTTTATGAGCAAGGATCTTGCAACAGCACCTAACTAAGTAGGCTCATTCCTGGTTAGTACTTGAATAGGAGACCACCAGCGAATCCCAGGATTGTAAAGTAGATTGAGAAATTGAAAATTCATCCTGGAAGAAAGCAGTGGCAAACCAATTCCATGTTGTTCCTGAGAAGAGTACACAGACACAGTCCAGCTCCACTCGAGGGAGTCTTACCTTTTGCAAAATCTCCAAGTTCTGTAATTCCCTAATGTTAATTTATAATTAATCCACACTGAGCTTCTACAGAGCATATTACTTTTTGTAAGATGTGCGGCTATATACATTTGATAAATATTGTATCAACTGCATAGTCAAAACCCATTTGTAGAAGATTGTCCACAGCTAGCAGTGGTCATCCTAAAGCTGCTTTTCTCTCTCGATGGCTTTTTGTAGCATGAAAGTACATGATGAATGAGTAGCAGTTATCAATAGAAATGTCTTTTTAAATAGTTCCATATCCCTGACCTTAAATATAAAGAGCAGACTTCACTACCACAGAATTATGATGCCCAGTATTTTTCAGTATATATGAGAGAATTTTGTTTCAGAAAACCTGGATTATCAGACAGCTGAGCCACACATAGGAGTGATTCCCATTCTTCACAGCAGGGCTGCATTGCATGGCTCGCCAAGGAGCCTTGTGTGGCCTGCCAGCATATTTTAAAGTAACTCACTGCCCCAAAAAAGACGCTGCCAAGCCCCTTCAAGCCTTCCTGCCACCTCTCTGCTACTGCTGCTCCACTAGCCGCTGAACAGCTGATCAGCAGGCCAGGTATTCCTTTCTAGCTGCAATTTTTTTTTTTTATCAATGTGGTCCTTTCCCCTGTTGTGTGGGCCTGTGTTACAGGCTATCCAGGAAAGTGAAAACTAGCTTGTTCTTTTTGTGTATTTCTGCTACACCCGCTGGGGGAGATGGGTGGCCTACTAATTAATTAAATAAATAATGCAATGCCATCTTAGATCTTAGTTTTGCTCCTCTAAACCTGGTGTAATTTTTAAGAAGAGGATGCAGTGCCACTTGATGTCTGTTACCCTTTAAAGTATTAAAGATTTCAACTGCATTGATCCAAATAGAATAAATTTAACAAAAAGTCCATTCTGAAGAATTTTTTTTTTTAATCAATTGAGCGTTCCTAATCATATCCAGGACTGGAGGAGAATAAGGACTGTAATTCCAAAAACTAAGCGAACAAGGAGACTACCGTACTTGATTTGTGGATGTTTTATGATGAAAACCTCAAGTAATGAATTCTTAAACTACAACCATAACATACATGTCCCATAAACTATTTTCCAGATCTTATTTGAGACATGCTTTCAAATGCTTTTATTTAGGGATCCCTAAGCAGACTGTTTCACTCTTACTTGCAATAATAACAGTCTTTCTGCACCAAGATATTTGCTTTCCTAGCCCAGGAACTCCATTAAAGGAGACCTATAGTTGAAAAACTTCACACTGTCTTTCCATGAATCTTTTGACTAACAGCAAAACTGATGCAAAATGACACCTACTGGTTACATATGCTAGAGAAAAGGATCAAATCAGAAATTTATGTTTGAAATATTGATCAGGCAGATTATGGCTAACAATGAAGATACATTCAGATATGGGATGAGAGGAACAGTATCGGGCCCGTCACTGATAAAATTATACTTCACTCCTTGAAGCAGAAATAATCTCTTGAATTCTGTTAATTAGACACTTCTTTCCAACGATCAAAGAGTTACCATTAGAAATTGTCTAATAAGCTTGAATTATTAATGCTGGACTATCTTGAAAAGCTTGAAAAGGAGAGACTTCTTTATATCAATAATATTTTTAAATATATTCTTGAACTATCGGGACAAAATTCACCACCTGGTCTTCTTTTAACATTTTTATTTTGTGTAAAAAAGGCAAATTTAGTGAATTATTTTCATCTTGTACACAAAGTTATATTCTTAATGCTTTTTCACATCCATGCTTGAAAATCTGCAGTCTGTTAAAAATGAAAGTAACATTAATTTCTTCAAAAGCAATTTTCAGAGTTATGTACATTAGAGGTTTTTAAATGTTCCCATTTGACCACACAAATAACCAAGAAAATAAAAGATTAAATTTATACAGATAGTGATCTATATATCAAATACATACAGAAATGATGTAAAAACCTTTTTTTAACCTCTGCCCTGATCATTTTCCCAGAGGCAGAAGCTCATGCTTTTTTTCCTTTTTTATATAAATGGCTGAGATTTCACTTAAATATGAAAATTAAAAAGAAAAAAAATCAATTTAATCACAGTTTTAATCCCTTTCCAATAAAGGATTGTAACCAATATATTAGCACCATAATACAAATATTGATGGGAGTAGGTGTTCACATCACATAAAAATGACAACAATAAAAACAAACAAACACTGAAACCCGTGTTAGTATCAATAGAACAAGAAGTCGATAACTGCTTTTGTTTTCCTCTGATTCAGCAAGGAAATTTAAAATATGAAAAAGATGTAAAATTCTGAGCTGTACAAAGGAGCCCTTGCAACGTAATTTACCTTGCCTGTGGTGCCTTCCTATTTAAAAAGACCCTGCCTTGTGCCAAATACTGTAATATTAGCCGACCCACAGCAGAAGTACAAGTCTCAACCCCTATCTGCTCACCCCCTCTGACCCGATTCCTTCCCAATTTGTTGGTGTTAATTAGTTCACAGTAAAATAGAGAGTGTTCTTAGCACTAAACCATAAAAAACATGCAATGCACACCCAGCGGTACTAAAAGCTTACGGTTATCTGCTGTATTAAGAGGCCACAACTGTTACTCAGAATGAACACTGAATTAAAAACAGACAAATGAGACTAATCTGGAAAAGGGTCTCCCTCAAGAGTTTCATGGCAAAAGTAGAATCAATTTCAAGATTAGAAAAAAAAGTTTTCATATTTAATTTTTTGTTTAATCAGGTACATGTATCAGGATGTAGAATCCAACTCAAAGGGAGCATTAAAATCCTGAAAGAACAGCAGTACCTACTTTACATAAATATGTAAATTATCTTCAAAAATCAGAGGACCTGCACTATAGCAGTAATCAAGACCGTTCCCTCCCAAACATAATTACAGGTCTTTTAACATCTAGCAGAATTGCTGGTTCAGGTTCAGGTTCTCAGCTGATATGGTAGGGATTAAATGTGGCCATGGGTTTTTCCAGGAGCTGCCATATTCAGAGGTAGAAGAGGGCATCATTGTTGATCTGGACAAAAGCCTAAGACTGACAGAAATTAGTGAAGTTCTCCAATCATAACATGCACAGTGATGGGGAACACTGCTGCACCTCCTGATTTTCTGCCAATCCTACAGATGTAAAATATACACAATGCGTCCATTAGGAATTAAGAGTAACTGTGCCTAAAAGTGTGTTCTTTTGGTTCAAGCTCATTTGGATGAATTGAAACAGGAATCAATTTCTACACAAATCCAAGCTTTTATGCTGGCCTCAAGGCAAAGGTCACTAGTATGGACCTTATTCAGGATTTCTTTCTTACACTGCGTAATATTATCTTTCTGACCAAAATCAGAAGAACTTTGTGTATAAATCCTATTCTGCAAGTCCTCAGAGTCTCTGACAATGCAGATATCACATGGTGGCCTTTACAAACCACAGCATTCATCCTGACAGTTCTGCAGTATTATAGGTGGGCACAGCTGACAGAATTATGATTTGAAATGGAAAAAATTATGGATCACTCAGGTTTTGGTTACAATTCCTTCTGGAATCTCATTTTGCCTTTTAGGGTTTCTATCCTAAAGATAAATGGTCTGATGACGTGGATCATTTACATTTTGGGAGGCACCGGCCTAAGAAATACTGTACTAAAATAAAACTTAGAAAAGAAGGAATTGATGCCTGAATTATGATTTCAAAAGTACTGTGATTCAGGGAATCCTTATGTGTGCATGCATGTGTGTGTATGTGTGCGCACACCTGGATACACACAAACATGATACAGCTTTTTGCTCCCCTCCCCCAAGAGCAGCTCTTTTTTTGTAGCATCATGAACTGCTTTGTAAACCAGGGAAGTTTCAAAAACAGCTGTAATGGAGCACTTGTGAAAGAGGGAGGGCATTATACTCCTAGAGGAAAAAAGAAAGAAGGCAGATCAGCTAAACCCAGATCTCCCCTTGTACTTCTAAGGATTATGAACATAATCTTTTTAGAGACATAACAATATGCAATTTCCACCTATATTCACAAATATTTGACACCCGATACTCAGTTTTTTAAATGTATACATGAAGCAGTTTTCAACAATGGCCCAGCTATGTGAAAAAAGAAAAAAAAAAGACTAGGAATTCTTCTCATACAGTCCTATACTATACAGGAAAAAAATGTACTTCCAGAAGTTACTACAAAATTTTACACCATTATCCCCTCTTGCATAGAATGTGGTAAACCTTTGCATATCACAAATGGTATGTACCCAATAACAAAGATAAGAAAATAATCAAAATTGCTGGTTTTCAACTTTCTATGCGTTTAAAAATTTAAAACATTTATATGCCAAAAATTGTCTCTGGGGCTTGGAGAGTTGCTAGTCATAAAGCATTAGATTTAAAGGGTGTAGAGGTTAATCTATAGAATTATTTTTTTCTAAACCCTACCCTTGAAACAAAAATCAGACAGACTGCTCTAAAGTCAACTTGCTATGACCCAGAAGCAATTACAGAATATAAGCAGTTAATTCCTGAGAGTTTAGTAAATGAACCTTACTGGTAAAAGCAAAACTCTTTGACATATATCATCCCGTCATGACACCAGAATGGAAATGTCAACATTTGAAGTTCTGTGAATGACGCCATCTGTTAACATCCATACAGATTTAACTATCCAGGAAAAGTTTCCAAGAAATTCAGCATTCATGCCACACTAGTCATGACAAATTCTTGAGAAAGGTATCAGCAGCCAAGAAAATACTTATGTTCAAAGCAGGCTCCAAAGCATCTTCGGGCAAACCAGCTCAATTTGTAACAATCAAGAAGTTCTTCCAAATGTGCAGGGAAGAATAATGCTGTGTTCAGGAGCAGGCTGCTGCCTCTTTTCAGGGGCTTGTCTTCCACCAGGATGGAAATCAAATCTGTTGCTGTTTCACTAGAAAAAGACCTTTCAGTTCCTTGCACAAGAAAAAACAAAATGTTCCATAAACTCCCAGTTGACACATATGGAAGCTTTGCTGATCATTTGTGTGAATATCTCAGTACTTCAAAATATGAACAAGTAACAGCCCCAATAACCTCAATGAAGACAGGACAAAAGCTTAATTCTCCAAAAGCTTAAGCAGATTTGTCAGTATGTCACTGTGCCAGGAGAAATCATTTTAATACTCCATCCTCTCAACTTATTTTCTTATGTTTCATCACCATGTCTCATGATGTCACTGAGGAAAAGACAGGGCATGACTAGTGTAGCTTTATAGTTCAGAAGCTCCCAGCTTGTACCAGAAGGTTCACTCATCACAAACAGTTCATTTGTGTTTTCAACTATTCTACCATCTCATCTTCCTCAAAGGGTTTCCTGCAATCCTGCTATAATTAAGCTTTTAATTCTTACCAAAAAATTAGAGTATCTTTTTTTTAACAATCTGAACTTGAAAATATTACAAAAATTCTTTCAAAAGCTTCAAATACAACACAAACATGTCAATTTTTAATAAATTGAAAATTCTTTTTCCCCCCACTAAAATAGTTTCCTTGTCCTCCAAAAATTCTGAATTGAAATCTTAACCGCAGTTAGCAAAGTGCCCTTAGTAGAAGCCATCAAACGGTAACATCAGAATGGGAACATCAGTCTTAAGGAAAAGTTCGTTTTGTACCATCCTGCTCAGATTTGCCCTTAGGGTTCTTGCTTGATGTACTGGCTGGCTGACCCATTGCTTTCCTGATCAGATGCTCCTTGAAGAAAGCTGTATTCCTCTCCATCTAGCAATTCCTCCTTCAGCTGCAGTGAAGATACTAAATATGAAAGAGTATGTTAAAAATGAAAATTGGTAGTGATATTGTTCTTTTCATTTCAGAAATGAAAATCTGGCAATATCCCAACTTTTGTTACTTCTGCACAGGACAATACAATGCTGCAAAGCAAAATTTCAGAATCTGAGAATACAGTAAAGAAAGTGATGGGCTGAAATTGGAAATATGGGAATTAAAAGAAGGAAATAAAAGGTTAAACATAGATATCTATACAGACTTAGTACTTGCCCCAATTAAAAAGAACGTTAGTTAACTGCATATTTTACACTACAATCATATTGACATCTGTTAAAAAGTCAGTCCATAGATTGAAATAGAATGTATACCCAGCTATTATTCACAAAGCATCTTCCATGTAACAACATGAAACCACAATAACTATAACTTAATAAGGAACAACATTTCCTTCAGGGATCAGAATTTTAAAGAAATCCTGGAAGGTTAAGATTGCTTGATGAAGGCTATGCTTGAATGGAGTAAAAATATAAAAATTAAAGAAAAAAAGATAAAATTAGCTTACACCAACCTATTCACTATTACTAGGGAAACCTATCATTGAAAATGATCTTTGCTTCTACCACATCTACCTACTACTTCACATATTGCCCTTTGCTCCTTAACCACTTTTTGAGGATCTCACCAACCCCAACCAACCAGGACTTTGTTCCTTGCTCTCAACCCATTCACTTTTCCTTAGTAATTTTATGATTCAATCCTCTTTCAAATTGGTCACTCGCTTTTGTATTCAATCCACACTCATTAACACTTATTCATTCTTACCCTATCTCTTCTTGTTTTAACACACACGCCTCTTATGTACCCCATCTCCTGCATTCAGCTTACTTTTATATTATTTCTGACATATCAAACTTTTATTTCCACCTAACAAGGTGGGTAGAAGCACAGCCATTTTCACTTCTTTCAATAACCATTCATTCATCACAACAGACAATATACTACCCACTATCTTTCTACCAACCTTTGTACATCTTAAGATTTACCCATTCATTTTCCATCTTTATTAAATTCTACAAGATAAATGAATTAATTTACCTGCTCTAATTTTTTTCTCCATTGTGGAATAACTTACAATTATTCACCCAATTTTCTGTCAAACATCAATATTAGGCTTTGATACATTAATTTTCAGATTTATATTCTTCAGTGCATCATACAATATAATGTTAGTTACAAATCATTTGGGTTCTCAGTGAATACATTGTCTGCATATATGTACTTTCACATCCCCAACCAATGTTTCTTTAATATTGTCAAGATTCCTTATACATTTGTCCACAAATGCATTAAACAACCTAGAGTGCATCACAGTCATTGTCTTATTCCCTGCTATGCTGAACCATTCACTAAGCATGCTGCTTATTCTCATGCATGCATTACTTCTATAATACAATCCTCCTATTACATTCAACAGCCAACCTTCAACTTTGTATTTGCATAAAGCATAATTCAAGCCTATTCATTTTACCATACACTTTCTCTAAATCAATATATGTGAAAAAAGCTTTGTCACATTCATATAATTCTTAGTCACCTACTGAAGAGCAAAAGTCCCATCTGCAAGCCTTCTGCCTAGCATAAAGCTCCACTGCACTTCCTAAATTTTGCGCATTCAATTTACTGGAGGAATCTTATTTGCCCCTTTTCACCCAAAACAATTTTTGTCTCTTCATACTTCCTACTTTCACTCTAATTTCTTCCAGGGATCCTAAACAACCAAATAATGGCCTGCCTGCATCTAATCACCCTTGTTTCCTTCACTAATTTTCTGTCTTTCATTACAAATAATCATAACTGTGTAACCACAGGTTATAACACGTAACATACCATAAAACACAATAAAATAACAGTAGAATAGTTAAGATTGTAAAATGAAGTAATAAAAAGAGTATTAGATGTAAGAAGGGTAAAACAAGATATAGCAGAGCTACAACTAAGAAGATGTGTTTCTAAGTTTAAATGATTGCAGAGAAAAAGTAGCAACCTAGTTTTTGCATCTGCATCTGCAAGAACAGTTCAATGTTTCGAGGTCTGTGCCCTTGAGTTTGCTGACCATCAATAATTTGGCCCTGATCTCATTGTCAATGGGGCAATGGAGGACAAAATGAATGTCATCCACTTGGCCAATACCACAAGGACAGAGATGTTGTCTGACAAGGCGGCTGCAAAATCTCCCTTTGAGATATGTGGAGGGCATGGTCTGCAGGCGAAGGGATGTTAAAGCCCTTCTCAGTGAAGCACTGGTTACATTAACCAGGTACTGGGAGAGGCTTCTATGTTTTTTATAGTGATGGTACCAAGATCAAAATGTGGATGATTGTACAGCAGTGGCATCTTTTTTGGCATCTCTTTCAAAAAGCCTATCTCTAATATTTTCTCTGTTCCAAGAGCTAAGTGCTCCCAAAGGTGGTAGGGAATACATTTGCAGGATGGGTGACAAAAGTTTGGTCCATAGATTCCCAACTGTGTAATGGAGAGAACTAGGTTTGGCAAGGAGGATCCTTCTTGAAGGATTTCTAGTTTCTTATAGTGCAATGCAAGATATACCCTAATGGCAATGGAAGGTAACCCTATCTTCAGCCTTAAATAAGCAGTAGGGGTGACCTGGGGGAGGCCCAAGATCTTCCTTATGAAGTTGTTTTGGACTACTCCCAATTGGGTAATAACCTTCTCCCAGTGTACATATGAACAGTTATGCTTAAACCAAATATTTTTAAACAATTTTTTTCTAACCAGATACCAGTTATCATTCTAATTCTTTCTTAAGCCTCCAAATGGCCCAATCATTTTTTTCTGTACAAATTCCCCCCATCCATCTACATCACCTAACAGAGTATATTTTTTTCTCCTAGTACAAACTAATCCCTGGTTCTTCCATTATCACCTCTCACTGGGACATAACATTCATCAGCAACCTATAAAATCCTACTTTTGTGCGCCCTCACAACAACCTAGATCACACCACATCACCTTTTTGAAATATGTTATAGATCTTTTACTCATAATTAAACACAGATCTTCACTTTCCTTCCATACTGATAAATTCTGCATAAGATTAGACCACCTTCTTTCATATCTATTACATCCTTCCCTTCCTCTTCCTTTCACAGAAAAACAACCATTTTTCTTTCATTCCATTCATTAATCCATGTCCTTTACCATTTGCTCTTCTTGCATTCCCAGTTGCACGTTTCCATATGTAACAGTTGCCACCAGATGGGCCAACAGATATTAACCTCTGTTGCCCACCACAGCTTTGGTAAACTGAGGGTTTCACATAAAGCATTTTAGTAAGATAGAGAAGATATACACAGGGCTACCAGTCTTAGTTGTATCCACGGCACATGTATAATGCTCTGTTGATGGTGAGGACAGTATTGGTCAGCTTTGACACATTTGGGTCTGTATGTCACAAGCACAAGCAAAGCCCAGTTTTATTCTAAGCATGCTCACACTATTCCACTGTAGGCGGAATCCACTATAATCTCTAGACATTTCCTTGCATACATGCATCCCACCAATTACAATTATATGCAGTGTACTGAAATGATCAGTACACTTAAAATGATCTTTTATTATTATTTTGAATCTTGATTTTCATGTGAATAGTAGGTCCCAGGCAATCAAAAGTAGAAATATACCTAAATAAATGAAATGACATTTCCAATTATTTCCAAACATTTACAGTCTGTTTAGAATTCACTGTAAACATTTATGATATTTGGCACTATTTTGTTTCATGCACCTAAAGTGAAAATTGCTGCTTAAAATATTTGTGTATTTGTATAGTGGTTCCTATCATCAATACATGAAAAATTTCAGAATATATTATACTGACATGAAGAAAATACAGTTCAATCAGCTTTTTTAAAAAGTTTTCTGTTAAAATGTGATATAACGTTTGGTCATTTTAATAGCTGCATGAAAAAATAGATATTGACCAGAGTAGCAAAGAAGGTAGACAAATTTTAATAAACATAGAAGGCATAAGCTGTTTGTTCAGTACAGTCTCAATTAGCTAAAAGATTTACAAAATATTTCATAGTCCAGCTGTAGGAAAAAAATGTGAGAACAGATTATACTGGAACTGTTTTTCCTTGCATGCTTCTTTTGAAGCATCCGTTAGTAGCTACTTTTGATGACAGGGTGGCAAGTTCTATTGATGTTTGCTTTGCAGCTCGCAGTATGAACACTGACTGAAATGTCTTTTAAAAGTATAAAAGTCTCTGGAAACTTATTAAAATATAGAGGTCATTTGATTTCATTCTTAGTATGGATTTATAGCTCCTCCCTGCTGACACACATTAAAATATTGAAAAGTGGCATTACATATACTCTAAAATATGTAAATTTAACATTTACTCAGTACAGGTTTCCCTAATTCACCTGTATGTATTAATCATTATATACTGATACAGATGCAATTATTTTGTTTCCCTAATAAAGTTAGAGAGCCACTTTGGTGTAGTGGTTAAGGCATCAGGTTAGAGATGGGGAGACCGTGAGTTTTAGTTCCGCCTTAAGCACAATGCCAGCTGGGTGACTTTGGGCCAGTCATTCTCCCTCAGCACTAGGAGGAAGGCCAGGGCAAACCAATTCTGAAATCTTGCCAAGACCATTGCAGGGACTTGTCCAGGCAGTCGCCAGAAGTCAAGACTGACTCAAAGGCAATCAATCAATCAATCAATCAATCAATCAATCAATCAATCAATCAATCAAGTTAACTGGTAAAAGAAACCCCTACCAATCCT